GTTGAGCCAGCAACATGCAATTTTGGCATCAATCTGGCATCGCCATTCTGAGCCAGATCAATCAGCACCACCTGAGCAGATTCTCCGAATTGTATTCGGTGCTTTTCAACTCTGAAGACCCTCTCCCAATATCCATAGAGCTTCTCTTGAGCCCTCACATTCCCAGATTCCAAAACCTTTATAATAGCTTGAACACTGAGATTTTTACGACGTAGTTGCTTCCATCTTCCCAAATTTCATCTTGCAAGAGAGTCGCAAGGGCGCTGAGAACAGCTACATCTGCTCCTCTATCCTTACCTTCCAATATTCGGATTAGGGGAGAGATAGCACCTGCCTTTAGCAAACAGAATGTATTTTTAACAAAACAATAACCATCATGAATTTCACAAAATGCGTCTGCAGAAGGAGGTACACAAAACCACATTGACTTTCTGGACTTTCTGAGAGAAAATGTATTCTGTGATAGCTGACTCAGTGAGGTTGCAGCATGGAGTTTAGTTACAACAGACTCAGTTGAAAGCAACTTCACAAGTGCAGGAATAACTCCCAATTCGACTGAATGAAGCTGTAGTTTCTTATCAGAAGGGATCGTAAATCGAATCAACAACTCTGCAACATTCTCTAATAGCAAATTTGTCGATGATGTTGAACTCACTGTGGAAATCAGAATAGGCAGTAAATTCTGCCTCTTAAGTGTATCTGTTGCTTTTTTATCAGTTACAGGTAAACTGCTCAATATGCCAACTGCAGCAACCCTTTCAGTGTCAGATGTTGATGATGAAATAATGTTTACTATAACGGCAAGATGTGCTTCTGTGAGCTGTTCTGTTAACTCTGTTTTCAAATCTTTAAAGAGAGTATGCATCAAATTCAGGGCTTCAGTCCTAATTTTAACATTGGTTTCTGTCAGGAATGGTAGAAGGAGCTGAAATGCCCCATTTTCATTCATTTTTGTTCGTACTTTTGATGCACTAGAATGTGCAGCAATGCTACCGAGTGCCTGTAGAAGGTGATATTGAATAACTGGACTAGATAGGCTTAACAGTGAAACCATTTGCTCAGCCACATCTTGGTTGACAAGAATAGATTCTGACTGAGCAATTCTTGCGAGAATTGCTGAAGCTGGCTCCCTGAGGGTCATGAGAACTGATGTAACAGAAAAAAGGAGCTGAAGAAGAGTTACTACGATGCCTGACCTGATCAAAAGTTGGATGTTCTCAGTCAAGCTGGACAAATTTTGCAAAGCACTCAAAGCAGATAGCTTGGCTTCTAGTTTTCCAGTATTAAACATTTTAACAAGATATCCAATTGCCCCATCTTTTCCTAGGGCAGCTTTACTTTGATCTGTGAGCTCCATCTTTGAGAGTGCTTTCGCCATGAGGATCTTACTCATTTCTGAGCCTGGTAAGACAAAGCATTGATAACTTCATTAGGCGGAAAAAGCCTTGAAACTTTTGGACAAAAAGAGTAAAGATTTAGTTGTAAAAGTACATCTTGCAAATACGAAAGGATCTGCCACCTAATCCCACCCAAACTAGTTAACAAAAGTTTTTGCAGGCCTGTGCTATACAAGTGTATTAATAAAAATGTTCAACAACATATCATCCTAACTAACCTACAGAAACTTGTACTCTTTTAGGTCTAGGTAGATCCATATTGGGACGCTGTGGTGAAGGTGCAAAAACAGGAAACAATGTGAATCAAATAGGGGAACCACAGTTTGCTTTTTGTAACATTACGAGAGTGATGAATTTGATCTTCTCCTCAAATAACTACCAACTACAAAAGTGAATACTATTCTAGACATTCCCCAATATATCATCCTTGATTCATGAACAACGAAATCTGACTTGCTGCAGGGAGATGATTTCCTTAATCTCAAGGGCACATGACCACAAGCTTATTTCAGTTATTTAAATTCATTCATGCTAAGTCCATTTACCTTCCTTCAAGCACTTGACCAGTGGCTTAAAGTAACCTGCCTCTGCCATGTGAAGTGCGTTCTGAGTATTGCTAGATAAAGCATTCAATAACTTTCCCGCATTATGGGAAGCTACAGGATCATCTCCATTGAGTATGGCAACCAACATAACAATGCACCCTTGGATTCTTCCGAGCTGGCGCCAAACTGTGGGAAGATCTGAGAGATCCAACAAAAGCCCAATGGCTTCTCTCTGCTCATCGGCATCACGTGTCAATGATTTCACCAATGCTGATAATGACCCAGTATCTGCCATCTTCTCCTGCATATTACAATACAATTGAGATAACTAATAAGTTGATAGAGTTTCATATTTTTTAAACAGTAAAGAACAAACATAATTAGATTAACCTAAAATTTTTGAAATTTCCAAATCAATAGCTCATATTCTGATATGGATTACCTTGCTTTCAGGATGCTCCAGAGCAAGGGTCCTCAGAATCTGAATTATAGTCAAATGGTTATTAGGCTTACTCGAATCCAGCCGATTAAGCAGTATATAATGACTCCTTCCTCATTTATCCATTCACTGCTAACAG